GGAGTGAAGACTCGTCAGATGCAATGCACCGGTGTCTGGGCTTCCGGTACGGCATATATTACCTTTGAAGATGTGAAAGTACCAAAAAGTAACCTTATCGGTAAAGAAAATAGCGGATTCAAGGTGATTATCATCATTTTTTCATTCAAGATAAGTATTTTACTAATTAACCATCTTTATAATTGATTCGTTTTGCTGCAAACAAACACAGTACATCATGTTCAATTTCAATCATGAACGTATGGGAATCTCTATTGAGGCTACACGCTTTGCTCGCGTGTGTTACGAAGAATCAATGAAGTATGCTCACAAACGAAAAACCTTTGGCAAAAAACTAATTGAACATCCAGTCATTCGTAACAAACTTGCTCACATGGCTCGCCAAATCGAGGCCACTCACGCTTGGATGGAGGCTTTAATTCATCAAACGGATCATATGTCTGGAAATGAGGCGATGACAAGACTTGGTGGACCGATTGCTTTGTTGAAAGCCCAATCCACGCAGACATTCGAGTTTTGCGCTCGCGAAGCAGCACAAATCTTTGGTGGTCTGTCTTACACTCGCGGCGGGTACGTAAATTTATTTGTGAGATTTTCATTCGACTATTTATTTAATCGATTTACTCATGATACTTATCATTTGATTCGTCAACAGTCAAGGCGAAAAGGTTGAACGTTTATATCGTGAGGTGCGCGCATATGCAATTCCTGGAGGCTCCGAAGAGATTATGCTTGATCTCGGTATCAGGCAATCTTTAAAAGTTGCACAATTTGCTGGGGCCAAACTTTAATAATTTCTAGTATTTAAGGAATTAAGCGGTTTAATTTTGTAAAAAATAAAAAAAAATCTCTTTTTGTCAAGGCAAAATTGTAAAAAGGGACTAATAATTATTGTTATAGATTAGTTTTTCTTTTTTTTTCTTTCCGAAATTCGTAAGTCAATTTTTTGTTTTATATGTTTTAATAAATTATTTAACAAGAATTTCTTCGGACTCGAGCTTATCATTGCCAATTTCATATCATGCAATTACATGTAACACTATTAGATATTTCATGTATACGAAAAAATGCTCACGTATATTTCATAATGGCAATTTCGCCATTCGTTACAA